ATTACCCAGCAATTCTAGACAAATAACATTTGAAATTCATAACACTATAATTCTTGGAAATGTTTAAATTGTCTCTTTTATTACTATACATACTGTACATCTACAGGGCTTAGATTCTGGTAATGTGAAAAATAACATGGACATCATCCAAATAGTTTATCTGTCAAAAGTGTTCTAGAATAAGGGTTGCTTTTTATTTATAATGTCCCCTTTATCCATTCTTTTTGGTATAACAAACCAAATATATACAATTTGTAATGTTGTTCATTCAAGATGCTTTCTTCAGTTGTTTGCTGGTGAGAAACCTGTAATCGCTATTTTAAAAAATCCATATACAGGTAGCCCTCGGCTTACAGCGGTTCATTTAGTGACTGTTCAAAGTTACAATGGCACTGTCTGATTTGCTATCTTCAGTTTACCGCTTTGCTGGCAACCTGTCATAAATTGTAGGGGCGGGGGGGGGGGGGGGAGAGAAGGAAGTAGGCAATTAGCATGTTGTACAGGGTAGAGATGAGCAAAGGGGAAGGAGGAATGACAGGCTTGATGGAAGCTAGAGGTATGAGAACTGGCCTATTCCAGTCTTCAAGGTTGTGGAGCCTGAGAAAAGAATGCAAACTGCATCACGTGGCACCAAGCATCTGAGCATGCCATTTGACAAAGACAGATCCGTTAAGTGGGGAGGGCCAGTGAGAAGGGGAAATACTGTAATGCTTTGTGTGAGAATTTCATTTCTAGCCTTGTTTTTGCTGAAACCATTAACTCTTAGTAAAAGAACCTATCACTTCAACCAAATGGAATTGGGGATCTTTCCTAGGGACCTAGTAGGAACAGATTTGACAGGCACTGAAAAAAGTGACATGACCATTTTTCACAGTTACGACCTTTGTAGCTTCCTGATAATCATGTGGTCGAAATTCAGATGTTTGGCAACTGGTTCAGACTTAGGACTATTGCTGTGTCTCAAGGTAATATGATTCACTTAACAACTGGGTAACTAACTTATCATTTGCAGTGATTCACCTAACAACTGTGGTAAGAAAGATCATAAAAAGGTGCAAAACTCAACAAATGTCTCACTTAAAAAAGAGAAATTTTGGGCTCAATTGTGATCAAAAGTTGAGGACTACCTGTATAGTTGTTGCATTTGTCTACAATTTTTTTTAAATTTAAGGTGAACAATTTTTTTCTAAACAAGAAATTATTGACCATTTATTTACCAAGTACTTCATGCATAATGTTTTGCCAAAGAGAAGATTTGTATCCTGAAACAGAGGGACTGTTTAACAAACTCTTTATCTTTCTTGTATGAAAAACAAACGATGCTTTCCTTTCAAACCCTGTGATCTTGAGTTGAAACAAGAATCTTAAATAGAATAAAATTCTGAACACCAAATCATTCTGAGCTTTAACATATATATACTATCCTAGATTCATTAGAATGCATCAATCAGTCAATGTAAAAATTCTGTTTTAGGCTGAATACTCTTCAACATCTTCATAAATTATTTAGATAAATGGGTGGAAGGGAATTCATCAAATTTGCAGACAATATCAAGCAGGGAGGGACAGATCCCAGGGACAGAAGGATCTTGACAGACTTGAATGCTGGGTCTTATTTAACAAAATGCAATTCAGTGGGGAGAAAAATAGGATCTTACATTAGACAAGAAAAAATAAATGCAGAGTTATAGAATAGGTGGTATCTGGCTCAACAGCAGTAACTGTGAGAAGGATCTAGGGTGCCCTAGAGAACAAAATAACTACAAGTATGAACCAGCAGACTGCTGCAGTTGCCAAAAAAAACCCAATGCAATCCAATACTGCATCAAAGAGGGATTGTCTCAAGATCACGTGAAGTGATAATAGCATTATACTGCACTGGTAAGGCACACTTGGAATACAGCATCCAGTTCTGGTCACCATGATATAAAAAGATATTGTGACTCTAGAGACAGTGCAAACAGCAAGAAAGATGATAAAGGATCTGAAGGATAAACTGTATAATGAACAGTTATGGGAACTAGGTATGTCTAGCCTAACAAAAAGAAGGACTAGGGATAATATGATATCAGACTTCAAATATTTGAGGAGATGTCACAAAAAAGAGGGAATTGACATACTTTCCAAAGCATCTAAGGGTAGGACAAGAAATGTCAGATGGAAGGTTGTTAAAGATCTAATCTAGAATTAAGGAGAAATTTTCTGACAATGAGAACAATTAACAGAATATCTTGCCTCCAGAAGTTGTGGGTGTTCCATCGCTGAAGGTTTTCAAAAATAGACTCAAACAGAAGATTTTACTAGAAAACTACTAAACCGAATTAACCTTCTGCTCTTAAATGTCCTTCAATTTGCAGGATTAGGGTATTCTCATACTCAACGAGAAAATAAAACAGAATTCATATGGAAGTAAAGAATGCCACTTAAAGAGGCAATTCAAAGAGAAAATGTTGGGAACAGAATTGACTTCCTTATTAAGAAGTACCATGCAGAAAGAAGAGACTGTTTAGGAATTGACACTGTTAATATTACCTGAAACTTCTTAATGTAAGATAATAAAAGCTATTCTCAGTGTATTCTATTTGCATTAAGATTGATGGTGGGGTTGTTTCCCCCTAGAAATTAATACCCAGTCATTATTGGATCCACCCAAATTCTGAGTGAAATCAATTAAGACATAATGGAAGCAGATTGGTGGACTATTTTTTTCAGTACAGGTGGTCTTCACTTAATGATCACTCATTCGGCAACCATTCAAATTTATAACAGTGCTGAACAAGTAGTAATTACGATTGATCCTATTTACAGCCATTATAGTATCTCTGCAATCATATGATTGTGATTTGTGACCTTTCCTGTCAGGTTCCAACAAGCAATGTCAGTGGGGAACTGGCATCAAGTGCAGTCACGAGGTCCTCATTTTATGACCCATGTAGTCTTCACTTAATGATATTGACTGCTGTCACTATCATTAGTTGGTGTAGTCAAATGGTTTTTCAATCAAGCTGATTAACAACAGTTTCCAGTCCCAATTAGAATTCTTAAACAAGGACTACTTAGTTTGTTCAGCATTTGAAACCAATTTAAAGTAATATATTATAGTACTAAGGATTTCTGAAATTTACCATTAACATGATAATTGGGAAGGGAGGGAAGACACATTTTTAACTCTGTTCTAGTTACTTTTACTTGTAATTTTGATTTAATGGCATTAAGTCAACACCATTGGAAATTATATATATATATCAATCAGTATATAGTAAACGAGGCTATCAGTTCTATTTAAGGTTTTAATTTGCCATGTAAATCAAGACTAATACTCTTCCATGAAATTTCAAAGAATAAAATTTGTTTCAGTAAGTTTTCTGTTTTGTGGTCTAAGATAGAGGAAGTAAATAGTTGCTTGCCATACAAAAGATAGGTTCCTGATTCAGAAACTCCATGCACTTAGTAAATTAGACATGGTTGAAATGCAGTCTTTACGTGGCCGTGTATCATCCAGAGTAGAGTATATCTAAGTGCATGTAGAATGGTATTATTTAGGCTAGTACCACATCCTAAGCACAGTAACTACTGAAGATAAAACTCCACTCAAAATTGCAACATGCTTAGTTATAAAACATTTCATATACAGAACGACTGCAGGCATGTATTTATATCCAGCTATATCTCCAAGCCAGAGAGCAAAGGCAGAAAATCTTTTTATTGCACCAAAAGATAAAGGAAAAAGAAGAAATATTCAGCGTTAATAATAAATCTCTTTGTTACCCAGAATGAAAAAATCTCAGGAAGAAGAGTAACACTAATTTCTTTTTTAAAAAAATGATAAATGATACAAGCAGATGAAACCTAATCTAAAGGGGAGAAAAATACAAATTAGTTATTTTGACATCTGGCATATTTAAGATCATTATTTCTGTGAAGACACAGGATAAATGTTTCATTTATTTTCTGTTTTATATGTTAAAAAGATACATGCAATAGTGTGCATATCTGAATAAGAATTCTACTGTTTGGCATTTAAAGATAACTTCCAGCAATAAAATATACATCATACAATGCAGAATCTGGTAGCTATAGCACCTTTTGCAATGAGAAACAGAATCTTTAAGCAATGTGTTTCTAAACTTATTGTGTTATATGGAGGAAAGTAATCTATTTTTCTTGTACAGGTGGTCCTTGACCTACAACCATTTGTTTAGTGACTATTCTTAGTTACAGCTGCACAGAAAAAAGTGACTTACGTCCATTTTTCAAACTTACAACTTTGCAGCATCTCCATGGTCACTTGGCAACTGGCATGTATTTAAGACAGTTTCATTTTCCTGGGGTCATGTGATGACCATTTGTAACCTTCCCAGCTAATTTCCAACAAGAAAAGTCAATGAGGGGGCAGATTCACTTAATGACTGCAAGATTCACTTGGTAAGCGCAGTGATTGCAAAAAAGTCAAAAATGGGGAACAACTCACTTAATAACTGCCTTGCCTAGCAACAGAAATTTTGGCTCAATTGTGGTTGTAAGTCGAGACTACCTGTATGCAAGTTCTATTCCTCAATCACACACAATATTTACTGTCATACAACAGTGAAAACCATAGAAAGATATTGTTCATAAGACACTTGTATCCAGCCATCCTGATCAGTATCATAGCGTCTGAAGACATCTGTCCATTTCTGGAAGAAAAAGGTTAATGTCAAATTGTCTGCAGATAAAATACCTGTGTTCCATTATATAAAATGCATATAACAACCATGAGACAGATATGATGCACATACTGAAATCTAAATTGGGGAGGGAAATATTTTTTCTAAAGTTTTTGACAATGAAAGTAGGAGTCAGGATCCAGATAAAGAGCTGGCCGGACAAAACCACGAAGTCAGTGGTTCATAATATAAAGCTGTGTTCGAATTCAAATTTTTATATCCTTGTTTTCATGTTGCATACTTGAAACAATCTGTCTTCATCTGGCCTCTCTATATCCCCCAGTCTATGATTACCTGCAGCACAACACAGCACTGAATGAAGTCATCAAATGCCACTTGCCCTCTTCTTTGCCTATCAAATTTTTGAATCAAGAGATCGTAGAACTGGTCAGTCAGCCGGTATCCTTAACAGAATTGGAAATATTAATGAGCAAAATTTAAAATAATTACATTCTATAATTGCAGCCACCTACATAAATGATATTCACATAAGCAAATAAATCCCAGGAGGTTTCACATATGAGAGAAGAATGGAACCAAACTGGTTTAATCAGATCATTTAGAGCTAGTGGGCACCTTTTTACTTTATGAAAAAATCAGTCTATTCAATAAAGCATACTGTGATTTGTCACAGATAAGAGCCGTGCTGGCCCAGTGGTTAGAATGCAGTACTGCAGACTAAGTCACTACTCACTCCAGGAATTCAATTCTGAGTGGCTCACGGTTTACTCAGCCTTCCATCCTTCCGAGGTCAATAAAATGATTGTTGGGGACAATATGCTCTGTAAACTGCTTAGAGAGGGCTGTAAAGCTCTATGAAGCAGTATATAAGTCTAAGTGCTATTGCTAAATGCTATTATTATTGTAACAAAAGTTATGGCTGAAAACATAATATTGTTTACTGGATTGATAAATTAACTAAAGTTAAATCTTGGTATACTATCTGTTTTTAAATAGTGCTGTGTTGTTCGAATATCTAATCAGTTTTTAAAATAATTATTCAGAAGAATATGCAAGAATGAAAATAATGCTTTATTTAAATAGGAAGAAATAATAACCCAGAGCATCAAATAATATGTACTCAGGAAGCCATTCTACTGTATTATGAAATGCATTTAAACAGAATAATGTTTGCACCAAAGGGAAAATGCATTCAACAACCTCATTACACATGCTGTGGGCAGTTTACAGATTTCTGTAAGCTTATGTAATATATTGCTAAATCTCTATGGAGATTCTCAGTCATCCAGGTCATGGTTGTCCCAAAGGTGCTTTTTCAAGAGGCAACTGGACTTTCTAGTTTTTTTCCAGGCCAGGCTGAAGAAGCTTCTTGCATGAGAAGCAAAACGTCTTCAAAGAAAAACCAGAAAGTCCAGTTTCCTCTTGAAAAAGCACCTTTGGGACCCTTGTGTAGTATACTTTACTGAAAATTATACTCAAATTTATTCCTTTTATCCCTCAGAGGAATGTAAGCTCTTCACAATAAATGACTGGAAAATGTTTCAGTCAAGACAGTTTCATTCATATGAGAAGCAAACATCAGGCCCACATACCTCACCATAAAACTTGGTTCTGAAGTGTGAGAGGCTATACTTCAGAAAAGATTCCATGTACCCAATCATACTATTCTACTGGATTAAAAGCAATGCTCTTTTAAATCTAAATATTTGGGCATAAAATGTACCTTTAAAAATGGATATGCTTTTTCCTCTTCCCTACTTTTTATTATGTGTCATGCTTTTGAAATTATAAAGATACCTTTACAAGCTTTCAGGTTTCTCTTTCTCTCTCTCTCCTCTCTCTCTATGTCTGTGTATCTCTCTGTGTGTATGTAAAATCTTGAAATATTTTGTAAAATTAGTGAACAAGCATCCATATCCTTAACATTTTCTACCAAGTATCATTCGCATTTATAGTAATACTTTTAAAATGAATTTTGGATCCAATTCTAAATCCAAAATGAATGGTAGAGCATGCTTTAAATAACAATCTTCAAAACTTGTTCATTTTAAATCATCCACCCCCAAATCTTCAATAAACTGACTTGTAGTCAGTTAATTTAATATGTAATATCTTATAAATTACAGCAGAAAACTAAAGAAATGTATCATCTTCTCAGTCGTTTGGCACTTTGATGACATTCAAGTTATCAAGCTCTACTTGACATTTGCTTATTAATTCCCCTCAGGGATATATTATGTGATTCTCTTTCCAGTACTCAGAGAGATGCACTCTTTTTCCCATAACTTGGCTATAGAGCTGAGGTGGTGCAGTGGTTAGAGTGCAGTACTGCAGCTACTTCATCTGACTGCTAGTTCAGCAGATCAGCAAATCAAATCTCACCGGCTCAAGGTTGACTCAGCCTTCCATCCTTCCAAGATGGGTAAAATGAGGACCCAGATTGTTGGGGGCAATATGCTAATGCTGATGCAATTTGCTATTATGCAATATGCTATATACTAACTTTGTAAACCGCTTAGAGAGGACTGTAAAGCACTATGAAGCGGTATAGAAATCTAACTAATAAATAATTCTCTCTTAACTACAGTAGTGGCCAAAATTGTGGAAACCTTTTGGGAAAAGGATATTTTTGAGGTTTGATGGCTAATAACATCACTTTTTTTGGAGTAGTAACATAAAATAATATATCAATGGAAAGATAATGTAATGTAGTGTAATGCGTATTCTACTAGAAATACTTAAAATTGCTCATGCTGTTGCATTTTGTCCCAACTGAAGTTTCTGGATACCCTTCAAGGGAAGCATCATAACAACTCCATATTGCAACTATGATTCCACAATCACAATTTTTTGTGAAATAAGTTCTAAGAACTTGTGACTAATGTACTATTAAATATATTGATTAAAAGTGTTAATTAATTTAAATGCCTAATGGCAACCTATTCCAAGCTGGGTATCCTCCAGTGTGTGGCATTCAACTCCTAGAATTCTTCAGTCTGATTGACAATTACTGAAAATTCTGAAAGTTGAAGTCTATACATCTGGAAAGGCTACATAAAGCTATTTGCCAAAATTACATATTATAATAATTACAATGAATTACCAAAACCTGTTAGGGCTTGCTTTAATTCATGTTTGTCAATCATTCCAGAGTTGTCTCTATCATATCTGCGAAAAACATTCTGCCAGTCAGAGATATATTTCCAGACTCCTGTGAATTCATTGAAGTTTACACCACCTTTGTTTTCTCTGTCAAACATAGCTGAAAAAATAATCAATCTTAATTAATCTAAATATTAGATTAATCTAAATATTAATGTATTTGTAATTTACCATTTCTTAATTTATTAAGTTTAACTTAAATTTAAATTAGGAGAAAGTAAAAGTAAATAAATAAATAAAGTATTTCAACGAAAAAGCCAATTATTTCCCATTTTTATGTCAAAACAAAACTCCAAAAGCAGCTCATATGCAGATCAAAATATAGATTCCCTAGAACTCAAGAAAAAAAGTTTGATTTCAACAATTTTAAAGAGCAATTCAAACTAATGGGGGTCTTTCATTGTAAGGACCTCCATTAGTTACCATGGTTTAAGAACAGATGAGTATAGGAGAAATACACAGTAAAATTTTTGTAGATTACATCTTTTCCTGAAATGGTAAGCATTGGTTATATCTTTTATGAAATACTGTAATTTAGCAGAATCTGCAGGGTATGTGTCTCAAAATTTGCACAATTTACAATCCTGCCCCATTTTACATGTGACATTGGCAACATAGGTTGAAAAAAAGTAACATTTGCAATGTCATCCTCCATATACCATCATATTGATTTTGACAGATATACCCTACAGATGCCATTGGCAATACTACTAATTGGGTTGTGATATAAGTGGCAATATCTTACTTCAGCCAATCTATAGTCCAGCCTATCTGATAATTATGCAGAACCTTAATATGGAAGGATGGAAAAGTTGTACTAATTTTAATGGAGGGGGAAATCAAGGTTTCTATATATGCTCCCTTTAAAAGATATTCAAGGGGACAAATGATGAAAGCAACAGTATGCAAAACAAGCTCCATTATCTTTTTTTGTCTTTATTTAATAAAGCAGAACAAAGAAAATATATATTAAACAATAACAAAAGAAAAGAGAAAAGCAATTGTTGTACACACACATAAAAGGGACAGAACTTCTATTATGACTGTATAATGCTGCTTTCATTTTGATGAAAGGATTGGATCTGTAGAGGCTCCTTTGTATCAATTAATACTCAATATTTCAAACATTCAGAATCATGAATCGGAAAAAGATGAAATAAACTGCTTTCTGAGAAGCAGAAAAATGTGATTGCACAAGTAACTACCTGAAGGATCCCAATACCGATTAATAAAGTTGCTATGACCTTGGTTACAACAGTAAATTTACAGATAGTCCTCAATTTACAACCACAATGGAACCTTAAAATTTGATTGCAAGCCAATGCAATTGTAAGTTGAGACATCATGTGACCAAACTCAATGTTACACATTTTTATAACTGTAAAAAAATCACTGTGATCATAAAGTAAATAACATGATCATTAACTGAACCACATTGTCATTAAGAAAATCCATTCTCTTCCATGGGTGTGGGGTTTTTTTCCCCTAGAAACTATTATTATTTATTTATTTTATTTTATTTTATTTTATTTTATTTTATTTTATTATTTTATTTTATTTTATTTTATTTTATTTTATTTTATTATTTTATTTTATTTTATTTTATTTTATTTTATTTTATTTTATTTTATCATTTCATTTCATTTCATTTCTATACCGCCCTTCTCCCGAAGGATTCAGGGCAGTGTACAGCCTGATTAAAAGCACAAAGACAGACAAAATTTAAAAATAATTAAAATTATTAAATGATAGGCCCAATTATAAAACCCCAAATTTAAAATCCCATATTTAAAACCAATTAAAATCTTTACATTGATAGCCCAGCCTGGCGGAACAACAAGGTTTTGAGGGCACAGCGAAATACACGGAGATCAGAGATTTTACGAATTTCTGGGGGCAGTTCATTCCAAAGGGCAGGGGCTCCCACAGAGAAGGCCCTCCCCCTGGGTTTCGCCAGCCGACATAATTTGGCCGACGGCACCCTGAGGAGACCCTCTCCGTGGGAGCGAACTGGCCGGTGGGAGGCTACTGGTGGCAGAAGATGGTCCCGAAGGTATCCAGGTCCAATGCCATGGAGCGCTTTAAAGGTGGTAACCAACACCTTTAAAGGTATTGCGCCCATAACCACCCACGCGGCTGCATTCTGGACCAATTGGAGCCTCCGGGTGCTTTTCAAGGGGAGCCCCATGTAGAGAGCATTGCAGTAGTCCAGTCGGGAGGTGACAAGGGCGTGAGTGACTGTGCGTCTGTGCGTCAACTAGCATACAAGTTGGTTGTCAAGTGCCCAAAATGCCAATTATAACTTTGAGGACAGGGCTAAATAGTTCTTTTCAAGCCTGACATAACTTTGATCAACCATTAAACATCCAGTTGTAAGTTTAAGATTTCCTGTATTTATTTAAATTAATAAAGCTGAAAAGGCTAGTATTTTGGTTCTGTCAGTCAAGTGCAACCTTAAGTATAAAACAAATGGATTTCAAATATCACTTACATAAAATAGATCTTACAGTTGCTGGATTAAATGGAGTCCATGTTCCTAAAAGAAAAAGAAAACATTACATGGTACACATAGAAACAAGAACATCTCAAAATGATAAATGAGTAGCAATTTAAACAATTAAAGCTTATTAAAATAGTAGTACTAATAAATCCGATCTCTCAATTATGTTCATAAGTTAGGCAATCATTTACTTTTACATAAATTATCTTCATTTACTGAGCTGTTTTACCCACTGTTCAATATTTTATTACAGTTCTGTCACTAATAAAGTAAATATGAAATTAAATATATAAATATAGAATATTTTTCCTCATGTAATAATGATATATATTTATATGTTAAATATATTTTCCTCCTATATATTGATTGTGTATAAGTTGGGTGGATACACACACCCACACACACCCACACACCCACACACCCACACACCCACAATCTTTATAAAGATTCTCCATTAAAAGCCATTTTAATAAGCTATTTTCCAAAGTTTCTTTGCTCATTTTAGTTGTTCTTTTTTTTCTCTATAGAAAACAACAAATAAGCAAACAATTCCCTTCATTATCTATTCTCAGACAGGAAAAAAGCAATAGATGAATATACTGTATATAGGCCTTGTCAAGATTACAAATACCAAAGAACATTAAAATTAATAGATTTCATGACACCTAAAGTATGTTTTCCATAATTTAACACAATGAAAGCCGTCTTCTACTTCCTTATAATTTGTTGCTCAGTCACTAAGCCATGTGTGAGCCCTCATGACCCCGTTGACCACAGTGTGCCAGGCGTCATCCCCCATTGTCTCCCAGATGCCCCTGAACCAATGCCCATTTTGTTGATGACACTATCTAACCATCTCATCCTCTTCTCCTTTTGTCTTTTTTATTTTTTTATTTTTTATTTTTTTAAATTTGATTTATATGCCGCCCTTCTCCGAAGACTCAGGGCGGCTTACAATGTGCTCAGCAATAGCCTTCATCCTTTTGTATATTTATACAAAGTCAGCTTATTGCCCCCACAAACTGGGTCCTCATTTCACCTACCTTAGAAAGGATGGAAGGCTGAGTCAACCTTGAGCCTTGGCGAGATTCGAACCCTGCAGTAATTGCAGGCAGCTGGTCTTAATAACCAGCTTAATAACAGGGTGCCTTAAACCCCTGTACTACCAAGGCTCTTCAATACTTCCTTATAGGCTTCCACGTACATTCCATAGCCTATAAACAAAGAAATCATTTTCTATGTCTTCTTTCCATATGCTTGTAAGGAGCCTATTCTTTTTTTTTTTTTAATTCATGTTTTATTTACTTTCTTTATTTATTTACTTTCACACCATACATATTTTGTGGACAGTGAATTGACTGGGTCAATATCCTTTTTCAACAATGTTAACAATAATAATACAAATAAGTATACATAATCCTAAACTTCCAATGTCACCAATACCATTCTCTCTTTATAATTCTTTATCACTTTTTTTCATAAATACATTTAAACCAAAATAACATTTCTTTGCACCATTTATTTGTTATCCCCTACTATACCCTACGTCCCGGTATAGCCAGCTGACGTCATCGCTGGTTATTGGGGGCGAATCACTGGCCCCCACGGAAAGGGCCCGCAACTTGGGCGTCCTCCTGGACGCACGGCTGTCTTTAGAAGGGCATATGACGGCCGTGGCCAGGGGGGCTTTTTATCAGGTTCGCCTGATATGCCAGTTGCGCCCCTTTCTGGATCGGGACTCCCTACGCACAGTCACTCAAGCACTCGTCACCTCTCGTCTGGACTATTGTAACGCTCTCTACATGGGGCTCCCCTTGGGGTGCACACGGAGGCTCCAACTGGTGCAGAATGTGGCTGCGCGGGGGATTATGGGAGCGATGGGGCGCTCCCATGTGACTCCTCTCCTGCGCGAGCTGCATTGGCTTCCGATGGACTTCCGGGTGCGCTTCAAGGTGTTGGTGATCACCTTTAAAGCGCTCCATGGCTTAGGGCCAGGGTACTTACGGAACCGCCTTCTGCCACCAATAGCCTCCCACCGGCCAGTTCGCTCCCATAGAGAGGGCCTCCTCAGGCTGCTGTCGGCTAGACAATGCCGGCTGGCGACCCCCAGGAGGAGAGCCTTCTCTGTGGTGGCACCTACCCTTTGGAACAATCTATCCCCAGAGATACGAGTGATCTCCAACCTCCGGACTTTTCGTCGGGCCCTAAAAACTCATCTCTTTCAGTTAGCCGGTCTCTCTTGATTTTATGATTTTATGGTTGATTTTAAATTTTGATATGGATTTTAAATTGATAAATTTTAAACTATGGGCCAAATTTAATTATTTTAAATCTATTTTTAATCACACTTTATGTATAAATGTATTATTTTGGCTGTTCACCGCCCTGAGTCCGAAAGGAGAAGGGCGGTATAGAAATTTGAATAATAAATAAATAAATAAATAAATAAATAAATAAATAAATCACTAATATTTAATATTTAAAAATTACTCATTATTTCACCATAATTTTGATATCCCAAATGTCTCAGACTACTACTAAGACCAAATATTAATAAAATTTAATCAATCCTAGGATTATATCTTAAAATCCCCACAATTTCTAATCCTTAAAAGTTTGAATTCACAATATATTTTAACACTATTAATATTATAAACTTCCACCTTAGCTTATTTTTAATTATAATAAATTATATTATCTATTAGTATATATACTACAATTTTCCCTATTTGTATTTTCTACTTTTTCATTTTATTAATCTATTTTATCACTATCCCACATCTCTTAACCTTTTTGGAGTCCTGTCATTTATTGACTTTTTAATCACCCTTTTATTCCTCTCTCTTGGAATCTTATAACTTTTTTTGATATTTTTATACCCACTGAGTATTCCCTTCGGATTGCCCTTTATCTCTTTCTGCTGTATCATTTGAGCACCCATCCATAAATCTTTCCTTTTTTTGAAGATATTTTTCTTTTTTTCTCTCTAAACCTTTTTCTTTTTTTGAGGAGATTTCTCTTTTTTTTCTCTGTTCTATTATAAACTTTTAAGGAATTATCTATTTGATTCCTACTTATCAATCCTTCCCCTTCATTATCTTTGTCTTGTTGCATCTCATTTTGATTTTTCTCTTCCACTGCCTGTTCTAATTTCTCATCTATTTTCTGAATGTCATATTCATCTTTTCCCCCCAGTCGCTAAGAAGCTTCTATACTCATTTCTTTATCTTTAGACAATTCCCTTGTTCTTTATAGTTTCATGCATGCTTTTGAGCATCAAAATGCCCTTAAAACCCACTTTTTCCAGCAAACCGGGCTGGCTTAAGAAGAAATTTTAAATGTTTTAATTGGTTTGTATTTTTAATTTTGGGCCAAATTTATATATATTTTAATTGTTTTTAATATTTGTATTTCATGTTTTTTAATTCTGGCTGTACACCGCCCTGAGTCCTCAGGGAGAAGGGCGGTATATAAATTTAAAAAAATAAATAAAATAAATAAATAAATAAAATTATTTCTTCATATCCCTCTATTATCTCCTGATGGTCCATTTTGTAACAATTTAATAAAAATTACCCAATATCCCTCTAGGGTTCCGACGTCTTAGTGTTTAAAAACTCCAACAGAGCCAAATATTAATAAGATTTAGTCAATCCCATAGTTATTCCTCCAAATCCCCTAAATTTATCATCTTTAAAGTTCTTTAATATTTTACAGCCTTTTGATTTTCCAATTATTTATCTTCCCAATTATACAGATTCTAAAGTCTTATTTAACTTTTCTTCTTTTCTCTTTTTTTCTAACACCTTTCTTCTTTTGCCTCATAGAATGTTCTATCAAATAGCATTAATAATCCAAGTCCAAGTTAATCCACTAGGTTTCCTCCAATCTTTCAAATCCACAATTCAATAACCAGTTTCAACAGAATTTAATTATTTGCAGTTTAAATTTGCAATTTAGTTCATCTTAAAAATCTTCAAGAGAAAAAAAAGAAGCTCACTGAACATTTCAAATTATCCAAATCATTTTCTAAAATAGAATCAAGGTCAGGCCACCTTCCAAGTCCCAATTACTTTCTTAATAGTAATCGGGACTACTACAAAGAGTATCATTGAAAATTCTCCCACTGTAATGCCCCTCTTCATTCAGTAGATGGCTCTCCTACTCCCAATTCCAACATTAAACAGTATGTCAAAAACAGTTGATTCCCTAATAAATTCAGGGGGTTTAAAGCTACAAATAAAAAAGACAGTTTCTCCCAAAAATCACCTTTCAATTGTTTAAGCTTTTTTTCCAGTTTTCTATATTTTAAAACTTCCCTTGGGCATTTCTTTTGCCTCTTAATTTTTAGTCTTTAATCTTCTCCATGTGTCTAATCACTGCTTCCTTAATACTTGGAGTATTTTTTGAAATTCTTGTACTTAAGTCTTTAAAGTAAGAGTTGGAAGTTATCTCACCCAGCTTCAATGTTCTGGACCCAGGGATGGGTTCCACTTATCTTTACTACCGGTTCGCAACAGGAAGCTTCTGCGCATGCGCAGATCGTCCATGATGACGTTCGGGTGGTGGGTAAAGCCTCCTGCCACTTTTACTACCAGTTCGCAAGAACGGGAGTAACCCACCACTGTCTGGACCACTCCAGCACAAATCTCGTGGTCCTGGTTGTCCCAGCTTGTGACTAGCCAAAAATGGCCATCGTCTCTGCTGCTGCTCTGGAGAGCTTGCTTCGGACCTAACGAGGAAATTGCAAGTTCCTCGTGGTCTATGAAGTGCCTCTCCTTTCTTCGCCACCCCTACAAGGCAGCTTGGATCCTGTAGGGTCCCCTGACAGCAGTTGCCGGCTGGATTTCGCAGGGCTCGGCAGAGCCTGCTATTTTCCAAGCCGTTCTTGCAGCGACAGCAACCGGATGTCCGTAGGATGTCCTGACCCTTTTCACAGTAAGTAAAAATTTTTTAAGCTGAAGCTACCATTATTTCTGGTTGTCTTTATTGAGTTTCAGATTAAAATGGCCAACATAATTCAGTTAAAGATCTGA